GACAGACAGACAGACAGACAGACAGACAGACAGACAGACAGACAGACAGACAGACAGACAGACAGACAGACAGACAGACAGACAGACAGACAGACAGACAGACAGACAGACAGATCGAAAAACGTTTTGAATGTTTTTGCAAATTGCGTCTGTCCCACAATAAGTGCTAATCTTAAAATTCCAAGCATGCAATTCCTAATCGACATTTTAAATTGTTCTTTTCTTTCTTGTCTTTTTTTTCCCAAAGTAAGACTATCAGAACAACTAGTGTGAGGAGAAGAGAAGTAACGTATCTAATTTAGTTTAAAGATGATTCTGTATCAAGCACCCTTAATAAAGTGTCATGTTTGCATGATGTGAAAAAGTTTTTAAAAATATTATTTCATGTCTTCAGTTGAAATATTTGCATACGTCTGTGACGCTTGAGTAGACTTAGTCAGAGGTTTAAGAGGGATACTGTCATGAACAAAAAAAAATCTAAAGAGCTGTGCACCTAAAATAATGTATTCATTTACCAAAGTCCTCACCATAGTGTGTGTGTGGGTGAGGTGGGTGTGTGTGTGTGTGTGTGGGGGGGGGGGGGGGGTGTAGGGTACATGGGTATAAGTGTAAGATCTAATAATAATCTATTCAATTCATTTCAGACCGATGTGGTAAATTGGTACTCACAAAAAGCTTTTTCATTTGTAGTGACATGCTGTTAATCTGCCAAGTTATTTAGAAATAACATGAAAGAATTTAAACAGTTTATTATTATAAAGAACAAAAAAAATATTAAAAGCAACTGCAAAAACATTGGATGATGGAGCCACACTCCACTGTTCATCACTTGATGCAGTGGTATATTTTAGTCAATATTTTCTAATGCAGTACAAGTACAGTTAGAAGTTAACCTTAGACTGGACCGCAGTGTGACAAAAGTATTGAACACATTGATGGCTGCACTTCCCACAAATACTTTGCTCTTCATTTGATCTTCTCTTTTCAAAGTCACCACTGAATCAAACGCATGAGGGGAAGAGCTTAGACGCATGAAATGCCACAACCTTGATTATGTAATGAATGGTAACATAAGAAGCACACTGAAGACAGGAGGATAACTGTCTTGTTAACTACATTTGATGTTCCCTGGTTTCCAGGCAAAACTATGGCCCAGTGTAAAAAAGTATTTAGATTATTATCAATTAAAAAATCAAAAGTAAATGATTTCAGTGTTAAAGAAAATGTCTGGCAATATATTTTAGTAGCGTTAAAGCCCTATTTAAATCAAATCTTTTCTTTGAAAAGCTTAAGTCTCTTGACAGTATTTTTAACAATTCTAAAAGCATGTTTGAACACAAAGCCTGTGAAAAAGGTGTTTGCTCTATTCTATTAACTGCTATTAACTGTAGGCTTTATTAGCACTTAACACACTGTTCTGCCTGGAATTGAACTCCACATTAAAACGTGTGCCTTCTACATCATTCAGATACTTACTGAATGTCTGGTGGTATCTGTAACAATTAAAGACCAGGCAACCAAAAAAAGCATGCCAAGCATTTTTGTTGTCAGCAGCTGTTCTGGAAAAGATGTTGTCATCAGTAATTACTGCTATGAGGAAAAACCTCCCCACTGGCCTGTCACTGATTGCCCTCCCTTCTCCTGGCTATTCATCTTGACTTACACCATCCAGGGATCCACCCCCCTACTGCCATCTCCACTCATCCTTAATAACCCACCCACATTCACTATCAAACATCCTCAAGGAAGGCTCTACGGCCAGTTTAGGCACAAGTTTGTGGACAGAAAACCCAGACACATTTACTTGAAGGACTTTAAATCCAGAAGAAAAAACCTGAGGCAGCAGGTTCGTACTACATCAGTGAGTGGAGTCTGAGAGAGAACGAACAACGAGCTGCAGACAGGTAAACCAGTTGTCTGTGTGATCCGTATGTCCTATAAGATAATTACATTTTAATATGGACAAAACAAACAAGGGATATATTTGAGACGCAAACACGTTTAACAAAACTGACCAGTTTTTTGCATTTAATTTTTTATTCTGCTGTTTGTATAAAATGACAGATGGTTTGAGGACATTGAGAAATTATAAATTGCAACATCTTTATAAAAAATGAAATCAAGATAAAAATATCTCATTTGCTGGCAATGTTTCTGAACTTGCCAAGTTATCTTATCTATTAGTGGAGTTCAAGATGAAATATTAATTAATTCTAGGATGCATTTGTCTAAATTATTTATAAATTCAAAAATTGAAGAGTCCTACCCCCACCCCACTACCCCACCCCCAAATGGCAAGAAACAGTTTGAGACATTTTGACAGCATATTATATTTAAGTGTACATAGTAATTACTGCGTGACAACTGCTGTGTTAATTACTAATGGAAGCAAGGTGGTGTATACAGAGCTACAACCAGACTGTTGAGGACATTGAGAAATTATAAATTGCAACAAATCAAGCTGTCTCTCAAGTCTCTTAAAATGAGAAACTCATATTTACTTCACCCCACCACAAAGTAAAACAAGATTAAAACCAAAAAACAGTCCAAAGGCCCAGACTATGACAGAGCAGAAACCATTCATCCATTCATCCATCCATCCATCCATCCATTATCTTTTACCCGTTTCTTCCATTTTGGGTCATGGGGGTCAGAGCAGAAACAAACAGTATAATTATTATTACCATTATTTACACTGTTTTCACCTAAAGTAAACAAACTGATAGACAGCAAGAGAGATGATATGTATCAAGGTAAGTGATCTTTATTTACAGTGAGTATTAATAGAGTTGTGGAAGTTAGACTTAAACGAGAGGTGACTATCTGTGAGCAGCAGTATGGTTTCATGCCAAGAGCACCACAGATGCCATATTTGCTTTGAGGAAGCTGATGGAAAAGTATAGAGAGGGTCAAAAAGAACTCCATTGCATTTTTGTGGATTTAGGAAAAGCATATGACAGGGTGCCAAGGGAGGAGGTGTGGTATTGTATGAGGAAATCTGGAGTGGCAGAGAAGTATGTTAGACTGGTACAGGACATGTATGAGGACAACAGGACAGTGGTGAGACGTACTCTAGGAGTGACAGATAGCTTCAAGGTGGAGGTGGGAGTGCATCAAGGATAGGCTCTGAGCCTCTTCTTGTTTGCTCTGGTGATGGACCAACTAACAGATGAGGTCAGGCAGGAATCCCCATGGACTATGATGTTTTCAGATGATGTGATCTGTAGTGAGAACAAGGAACAGGTGGAAGAGAACTTGGAGAGGTGGATCTATGCACTTGAAAGAATAGGAATGAAAGTCAGCCGTAGTAAGACAGAGTACATGTGGGTGAATGAGAGGGAGGCCGGTGGAACAGTGAGGTTACAAGGAGCAGAGGTCACAAAGGACTTCAAGTACTTGGGGTCCACTGTCCAGGAAAATGGTGAGAGTGGTAAAGAGGTGAAAAAGAGAGTCCAGGCAGGATGGAGTGGATGGAGAAAAGTTTCAGGAGTGATTTGCAACAAAAGGGTGTCAGCAAATGTCAAAGGAAAAGTTTACAAGACAGTGGTGAGACCAGTTATGTTGTATGGTCTGGAGACAGAGACATGGACAAAAAGACAGGAGAAAGAACTGGACATAGCAGAAATAAAGATGTTGAGGTTCTCCTTAGGAGTGACAAGGATGGATATGATTAGGAATGAGATCATCAGAGGTACAGCACAGGTTGAACAACTGGGAGATAAAGTTAGAGAGACCAGACTGAGATAGTTTGGACATGTCCATACAAGGGACAGTGGGTATATTGGTAGAAGGATGTTCGAAATGCAACTGCCAGAAAAAAGACAAAGAGAAGATATATGGATGCAGTTAGAGAGGACATGGATGCAGTTAGAGAGGACATGGAGGTAGTTGGAGTGAGGACAGAGGATGCAGAGGACAGAGTGAGATGGAGGAGGATGACTCGCTGTGGAGATCCTGAAGAGGGAAAAGCCGAAAGAAGAAGAAGAAGAAGAAGAAGAAAGTAATAGAAGATGGAACTCAGGATGAATCTGTGGAGAAGCAGATGGGAAGGTTAGGATCTTGTAAACAGATGTTTCTTTATCCATCCATCCATCTGTCCTTCCATTATCTTTACCTGCTTCTTCCTCTTTGGGTCACGGGGGTCATTGTTGCCCATACAACCTGGACAGATCGTGAGTCCATCACAGGGACACATAGAGACAAATGAGACAAACAATCATTATCCTTATTCGTTTGTCTTTGTTGTAGGCGAGGAGAAGAGGGAGGATTCTAAACAGGAGGTGTTGCAACAGGAGATGAGGTGAGTATTGGTTTGTAGGAATGTGGCAGGACAGGAGCTCCCAGGCTGATGCAGTTAGATGACGAGGCACAAAGGTAAGTGGTTTCAGGCTGTAGATCTCACAAGGACGTAACCCAGGAGTTGCTCTAGGAAACCGGACTTCCACAGGTATTTACCTCAGGATTAGAGAAAACCCAAGGAGTACAGTTTGTAACTTCTTATCACAGATGAGGATCATAGAGGGGTGTAGGCTTGTTACCCAAAGGTCTCAGATGTTCCAGCAGTAATCTACTGAGCCACACAAATCATACAGCAGACCTCATCAGGCTGGATCAGGAACAGGTATCTTGCTGCCACTCAGGAGCTGCAAGAGCCGTGGCAGGAAAACACAGAATCTCCATTATGTGTTTAATTATCTTGGTTTTTCTCATGAATATCATTTTACTTAAATCTTTAAAGTGCATCAAAATGGTTTAAAAACATGTAATGTGCTATAGCTTTGACATTTACAAAGCAGAAATATATTGTAGACTTAGAAGGAAACTTACAAAAATGTGCAGCCTCCTACAAACATGAATAAAACTTGTTTTTAATACAGAGCAGACTAAGTAATCATTACAATAATATATGGTAACAAATGGTGCCTTACATAATAATCATGTTATTGATCATGTTCGCTTTCTGTTGGTAGGTCAGCTTAGATTGGTTGATCCTTGACAAGATGTGGAAAAGAACAAAGAGCACGGGCCAGTCCACAACCAGGCCATGTACAGTATTTATTACACTTCTCATGTTGAACACACATCTGTATTCATGCCCTTAAGCAGCTGTACAGTAAATTACTTTTATTATTTTCCTGTTTGGTTAAAATTTGTATTTAATCTTTTTTTTTTCTTCTTCAACCCAGGTTTCTCCCTTGTTCATCAGTACATTCTGCATTTTAATGAGGTGTCTGGCAACAAGTCAGGTAAAGTGACACGTTGTATTTTCTATCAGACAAACCATTTTTATTTCAACAATGTAATGGGCTGTACAGAGAATCAGCTATTATCATAAACAGTGTAAGAAACACCGAACAACACACTGCTATTATAGAGCAGTGCATGTGTGTGTGTGCATGTGTGTGTGACCTGTCCTGATTTGAGCTGAATATGTTTATTAATTTGACAAAGTAGCAACAGGACCTGTTATTTCTAGTAGTTCTGTTATTTCCGCTCTTGTTGTGAAACTCATTATTCTGTGGATTCATAATTCTGATGGTGGCAAACCTCTGAGTGTTCCTCCATCTTTCCACATTCAGAGCCTTGTTGAACAGCTGGGCATTTCATAAACAAGTAGAGTAGAGTTAAACACCATAATTTCAACAATTATTTATCCCACACACTGATACCCCCACACACACACACACTCAGTGTTCAGTGAATTTAATTTTTCATGTGACAGTTGCAGGTTGATAAAAAAGCACATCAGAGACGACCACTAACCCATGATGCACTGCTTCTTATAAATCTTGAGGAAATATTTGTGCAGTCTACTCTAACTTTCCTTATGAACATATTGAGTGTGTTAAAATTATAACAGTGTAGAGAAAATAATCTGCAATTGCTAACACTTAAAAAGAGAATTATTACAACTAATCCTTTTTTTTGTTTGTTGTTGTTTTGATCTTAAAATATGAAAAAGTCCATCAGCAGTGTAGTGATGACTTTTCAGGCTGGCAGTCTTTTTGTGACATCAACCATGTTCACTTCATTTTGCCAATGACTGATTTTGTTAATTTCTAAAATATTACATAAATAGTAATTAAATTCTACATCCAACAGCTAAGTTTTATATCTCTTATGCCAAGAATGATTTGTTTCAGAACTTTGATTTGGCCCTTCTTTGGATTTTAGAAATAATTTCCCTAAATTACCCAATTATAAATTATAACATACTTATTGTAGTTGATCAAAATGAACAATGCTCTCACATTATTGCTAAAGATTAGACCACGCAGTAAAGAGACTATCTCATGAAGTTGCATTACGCTAACTCAGATTTAAATAAAAATAGCATTTTTTAACAGAATGCATACCCCTTACCGTATTATTGCCAACATTTTAAATAAAGAACTAAAATAATCCGTTATCTCTCTGAGTATGTGTTCAGGATGATCGACAGCTACTGTCACACCAACTTTCAGCTCAAAGTCTGCAAAAATGACTGGGTTGTATCCATTTTACTGTTTGCCACAGTGTTTGATAAAGTTAAACTGGTTGGTTGATTGACAAATTGATTAAACTGGGTTGGCTCCATAACTAAACTGGTTGAAGATGTTCATTCAGCCATTAATTTCATATTTGCTTGTAAACAAAGAAAGACGTGCAGAAACCATGACATGATTGTCTTTTTAATGACAATAGACAATAAACTAACAAGTGGGACACTGATGACACTTTTGTTACTGAAAGATTTGAATGTTGAATGTTTGTAGTTTTCAAGATAAGTGTTTTTATCTGATTGAACAGGGAGTTCACGTGAACGTTAGTGTTTTTTGGTGCAAGAGATTCATGAGTGTAGGAATTACACACATAATTACACACGGAGCATGAGTCTTTCCTGACATCTGCTGGTGTCCAAAGAGAAACTGTTTTGAAGAAGGCAACATGTTCGTTTTAACCATTTACTTTTAATTCTAATTCTAATTTTATTCTGAATCAGGATTTTTTTTGTTTGTTTGTTTGTTTCTTTAAGAAAGGGATGTTTGTTACAATTTTTCTTTTTTTTTTTTTTTTTGGGTGGGGTGGACATCGTTTAGCTACTCTCCGGAGAAGATCTAAGACTCCTGGGGTGATGATCACACAGTACACGATACGTATGCCAGAAGGTAAAAGCACTCCAGATTTCCAGTGCAAACCTGCCTCTCTAATCATTCAGGAAGGTGAGTTTCTTTAAGCCATTACAAAGACAATAGGAAACTCCACACCTGTGCTTTCTGGGGTTTCAAATAATGCTTTTATTAATGGCTCCAAAAGATGTCTAATTCAAAATGAACAGTATTTTTGTTCTGATGTATTTTAGGAAAATTAGCAGTTTTTAAGGCTGTGGTGATCGGAAATCCAAAACCAGATGTGTCGTGGAGACGAGCCAAAGGATGTCTCTCAGATAAGGACAAATTTCAACAAAAATATGATGAATTAACGGGGGAATACATTTTGGAAGTGAGTGACTAATTAAAAAAACAAAACAAAAACCTTTTCATACATATCACACTGTTTTACGACAACCTTTGCGATGCTAACTCATAATAAAAAAGCTGTCTTTTTTTTAAATTTTAATAAATGAATCATGTCAGATCCATAAAGTGACCGCTGCAGAGGCAGACACGTTCAAATGCTTGGCTGTCAATGAATATGGCAAAGCTGTCTGCTCAACAACATTAAGAGTGCTTGATGGTAAGATTTATTTCTTGCTATTCTGTTTAGATATTTGTTTCATTGCTCGCAATTGAACAGGTTGTACACATATCAGCTCAACTTTACCCAGAGGGAACAAGACAATAACTTTCAGCTGAATTCAAACAGAGCAGCCATTGTTATCTGCAAGCGGGTGCTCTGCTCTGTCAGTGCACATACTGTATCAATTGTAAATGTGCTTTGCAAAATTCCCTGATAAATAGGTGATCTACTGCTTTGTCATGCTTTTTTTTTTATTATCAATAGCCAAGTCATATGTAGAACATGGACTAAGATTAAATTTAAAAAAAAAAATCAAGAAAATATACCCAGAATACATTAAAAACATACAATTCAATTAAGTTCATTTTATTTATATAGCACCAAGTCACAGCAGAAGTTATCTCAGGGCACTGAACAAATACATTCATATAAATAAAACCTAAATTAGTAACATTATTTATCTAAGGTAAATAGGTCAAGTTATACAGTTTAAAATATAAGTATACGGGGTAAACACTGTCATTAATTTGAGGTCTCACTTTTTTATCTTCCTGATGTATTGATGTTGAAAATAAGAGAAAATAATAAAAGTACTTAATTTGTCACAATAACAAAGTTCTTGATGGTCTTCTGTCTTTTTGTTGTATTAATAGGAGTATTTTTTATATTAAACATATAAAATGTACAAAGGAACAAAATAATAATTTGATTAAATTGTTGTTTTCAGGTTCTACAAATCCTGAAGACTTCAGAAAATTGCTGAAGAAAAGGTAGGAACTTTTGAGCTGCTAAAAAAAATGAATCTAATATTTCTGCACAAAATCGGATATGTACTGTAACGGTTATTTATTTGTCTGATTTAATGCAGTATGGTGGAGAAAGCAAATGGAGATAATGATGAGAAGTTCTGGGACGCGATGCTAAACGCTGACAGAAGAGACTACGAGCGCATCTGTTCTGAGTACAACGTCACAGACGTACAGCTGGTTCTCAAAAAGCTTGAAGAAAAAAGAACGGCAAGAACACAAAACAAGAACAAGGTTCGAAAGCTCAAGTTATCCAAATACGTATATGGAGGATTCTCTGTATGATCTAATATTTTTATTACAGATTTAGAATTGTGCTAAAACGCAACAAAACCTTGAAAAAGCCTTAACTGCAACATGTTGTGTTTTGTAAATCTAACATCTGTAGTTGTGTGGCAGCTGTGAGTGATGATCCAAATATCAGAAGAGTTTAGGCATAGGGTTTAAATTTACATTGTTCTATCAAAACTACAAATAAAACTTAACATTTTTTTTAAGTATCTGCATAAAATGTTTGTTTTTGGAAAAAAAAAAAAAAAGAGACACGCCAACCCTCATAACACTGGTCTTTCTTTTTGATGTTTTGTAATCTCTCTTTACCTGCATTTGTTCAGAATGGTGTCATTTCCTGTGAAGTTGATGCAACAAACCATGACGTCGGTGGTGTTGGGAAGACAAACAGCATCAGAATCAACAGGATGTTCCAACACGACACAGGGCTGCACTCGGGGGATGTTGAAGAAGTCAACATGCGCAACACAGAGCTAAATCAAGCTGCTACTGAGGACGACCTGCTCCCTACAGAGTTCAAGCGTAAGTTTGAAATAAAATAAGTGTTAAATGTTAAAATAAATGTATTAAAATATGTGTATTGTATTTTAAAATGTATAAAGCACCACTCATTTTTACATTTTAGCTGTGATTTTTACAATACTCCATCCATCAATCCTCTTTTACCTGCTTCTTCCTTTTTGGGTGATGAGGGTCACTGGTACCCATGTCCAGCCATTACTGTATGAGAGGTGGGGGACACCCTGGACAGGTCTCCAGTCCATCACAGGGACACATAGAGACAAACAACCAGTCACTCTCTCACTCTCACCTAGAGGCAAATGACAGTTACCTATCAGTCTAACGTGCATGTTTTTGGTCTGTGGGAGGAAACTGGAGTACCCGGAGAAAATCCACACATGCAGGACATGCAAACTCCACCCAATAAGGTCCCCGGCCGGAACTCGATTCAGCAACTTTCTTGTTGAGTTCTTCCAACTGTGCCACCATGCTGCCAATAATACATCTAATCTACAAAAAAGTTAACATTCAGACAATTGTTTATCTTGGAGTTAATGTGGGGTGGAGGTAGGGCAGCCAACTTGGAACCAGAAAGTTGCAGTTCGACTCCCAGCCATTCCCACATGCCGTGGTGTCCTTGAGCGGGACACCCAATCCCTAATTGCTCCCCGGGTGCTTACATAGCTGCCCACTGCTCCACCTGGGTGTATCTCAGGTGTGATGGGTTAAACGCAGAGAACCATTTTCACCATTGTATGGGAACATACAATGATGACCATCTCAGACTTCCCTTATCTGTTTACTATCAGGGACATCACCACAACAAAATGGCTTTGGGTTTATTCAAAGACAGAACCCCTACTCTGGTTGAACCCAAGGTAAAATATTAACTTCAGTTGTTCTGATTGTGTTTCAGTAAACATACAGTAGTTTAAATGGAACTGAATGGGTTTGTGTTGAGTAGTTTGGGGAAGTCTGTATCTGCAGTTGACAGCAGTTCATAAAGAACGATCTGAGTTGGAAGAATGAGAAAGCCGAGACAAACGTGCATTGAAAAACCTGCGTGTCAGCTCTAATTCAGTTCATTTCAAAAGTGGAGTACTAATTAAAAAGCTGGCTGCTGATTGTTAATTATATGATTTTGTTCTTTCACTGTTTTTTACAAATGCTGTCAGAAAAATGCATTTTTTTTACTGTAACATTGCTTTTTATAGTGGTACTCATGGAACTAGCTCCTATAGGCTTTGTTGGATAAACAACAGTTTTACACTCTGCACCAAAAATATGTTTTTAATGCACCTCAAAGATGAGTCTAGAAAATTAACCTTTATTGACCTCTGGTATGCAGTCCCTCCCATCCACCCCCCCAAACAACATTATTTCCACAAAGTGTCTTGTATATAAATTAAATGTGTACATTTTATTTTTGTAGAACAAGTGTTATTTACATTTCAGAACTTATTGTTTAAATATTTATAAAACCGTATGATTTATTAACCATACAAAAAATGACAATGACTAATTGACAATACATGTAATACATGCATTTAGGATTATTAAAATATATATATAATTGCTTTATTTCTAGTTTCCAATGTGAATTTTGTTGTAAAAATTCAAGAGATTAAAGCTGAAGAAAGAGATGATGCACTTTTTGAGTGTGTTCTGACACAACCCCTACCTACAATAACATGGATGAAAAAAGGTGTTGCCTTGGAAGACGGGGAGAAATATGAGATAACTGTGTCTGAAGATAAACTGATTCACAAGCTGCTGATTAAAGACTGCAGTAAATCCGACAAGGGGATCTATTCAGCAATAGCTGGTATGACATCCTGCAGTGCTTGGCTGGTGGTAGAAGGTAACAGTTATAGTTTTTTACAACTTTATTTTATTAGAATGTACCAGCGTGATATTTTGATAATAATAAATAGCTTTCATAGATGTGTAACATATTGCATGTTGCTTTTTGTATGTTTCAAGCTCAGAAGGATCTTGCATCTGGTGGTAAGAAGCCAGTTCGTAAAACTGTCCTTGCTGGTGGAGCACAAACCAACCTGGAAAAAGTGGCCAAAGAGCAGCAGATAAAAAACCAGCAGCAAATGGAAAATATCTTAAATGCTGTAAAAGCAAAACACTCAGCAGGAAAAGCAAAACAGCAAGTCACATTACGTAGTGGGGGAGACATGAATGAAAATGAAGGAAAAGAGAGAACACGAAGCAAAAACTCAGAAGATGGTGCTGTAATGAACTTGAATGATTCGGATTGTGAAATGGAAGAAGGGGAGCAAGTGAAAGCAGGTGGCCTCAAGAACAAAAGACGTAGCGCATTACGAGTCGGATGCAATAAGGCAACAGGTAAACTCTTCTTTTGTACAAATGCATTTCCATTACCAACATGCAGGGAGTAGTTAGAAGTATATGAGAACAGAATGAATCCTATTTTGTTTTATCTATCTCATGGTTGATGAAGTATAGCAGGGCTATCCAACTGGCGGCCTGGGGCCAAATCAGGCCCACAGGTGAGCTCAGTTAGGGTTAATTTTTTTTTAAGAAAACTAGATTTTTAACCATAAAACAAAGTTACTTAATAGCAATAACTGCTGGATGTTCAGCCCCCGAGCTCTTGGCTTTCAGTAACTGTGGCCCCCTGAGCAATTTATTTGAATAGTCCTGTAATAGAGTTATCAAGCAAGGTCATTGCTTAACTATGACAATTTAACTCCAAACTTTTGATCTTTCTGCTTACAGAGACACGTTCATTATTGAACACATTAGTTAATAAAACTGGAGTGAACCAGAAAGACTATCAAACATATCTGACTTCAATATATAACTTCAAAACCCCACCAATGTAAGAAGATCGTCGGTTCAAGCCCCGGTACTGACAACATCAAAAATGTGGGTGAAGCACCCACACCTGCCCCCACCCTCATTTGCCCCACTCTGGGCCCATGAGCAAGGCCCTTAACCCCCATCTGCTCCCTAAACAGGTCTCTCTTGAAAATGAGTTCTCGTGGCTCAGTGAGACTTCCTGTATAAATAAAGGGCTAATGAAATTGAAATTCTAGATAGAAGCTGTTGCGTTAAGGCCCATTCACAGTGATGAGACACCCCCCCCCCCCAAAAAAAAAAAAAAAACCCACAAGAAATCGACCAGAATGTGGAAGGTCTTTCAAGGATCTTGGTGAGATTTTCAGGCACACAGCAAGAGCACAGTGGGTTTCCCATGACATCATACTTGTGGCTGTACATAGCCACATCCTGATGGGGTCTCAGGGAGTTATGTCAGGGTGGGGCCCATGGGGTGTTGTGAGGAAACAAAAGAACATCTTGGGGATACAGAAGATATCAGAGAAAAGTGCCAATATTTTACTCAGCTATGATTGGTTGATACTCTTTGAAGACGCCGTATTGAGAAATAAGTGAATATTCAGTTGCAGCCTCAGTGAAATCAGACAACCTGCTCTTTTGATATGTGTAATATGCTGACAGAACATGTGCTGCCAAAAAACACCTTCTTGTTTGTATCACTGTTCGTGTCTTTCAAGAGTTTGGTGATGAATGTGCTGATTTAAACCAGAATCAGCCGTCAACCATGAGCCTACATGAAACGACTGAGTCCAGTAGCACTAAAAGAAAACAGAAGTCCCTCAAAAATCAGAGAAAACCAAAGAAGGTTCATTGGCAAGATGATATGTCAGGTAAGTAAGAAACATACTAGCAAATAAACACCCTGCTGACGAAGAGTATGTATTTGTATGGAAAAATTATAATGCATTAATGGACAAAGCAGCATTTATAAACACAAATACAAATATACAAATATGTCCAAACAGATTCAATCTCCTAATAAGTTCAATACAATTCTGTTTAGGCGTGGACTCTGACACAGATTCCAACGAACAAGAAACTGACAGTGAACTAAGTGACACTGATGAGAACGAGATGTCTGACCAGAAAAAGCAACAAAGAAGTTCAAAACAAAGGATAAAGTCAAGAGACAAAGTGGGAGGTAAGAGACCACAAATTGTACTTCACTGCCCCAAAGTGTCATATGGATTAACTGTCACACAAATTGAAGACGGCAAAACTTCAAAATAAGTTCAATCTTCTAATGTGTTTACAACAGTTCAGTTCAGGATGCTTTGATGACACCAATTCATCTTGAATTAAAAAAATAATAATGAAAGCGCTATTTTGTCTGATGGTCATAATTAGTGCTATTTTTAAATCTAAACAAAACAACAATGTAACATATTCAAAACCTATTAAATGATTGTGTGTTTTGCATAAATCTGCTCTGGTTCCGATCCAAACGAACCAGCAAGTGACAATGAACCGAGTGACACTGATGAGAAAGAGGATTCAGCTGAGCAGAAAAAGCAACAAAGAAGTTTGAAGCAAAGCAAAAAGTCTAAGAAATCAGCTGAAGGTAAGAGACCAGAAACTGAATAATACTGGACCAGTGTGGTGTGGGTTAAATGTCATACATGTTTAAATATGGTATGCTCCAGAAAACAACACTTTACACATTTGTTTCATTCATAAAATGGTCAAATGTCAATTATGAACTCTTTGTATAGGACAATGGAGTCCTGGTGGGGGAGGGGGAGAACCACTGGACAGGTTTTAATTAAACTCTCAGAAAGTGAATGTTATTTATAAGTTTATTCATTTTTTTTTTTCAAAAAACAAAACAAAACAATTCAATATACAATAAGAAATACAATCACAAATAAAATGAAAGGCAGCAGAAAGAAAAACAAATCTTATAATATCTGCCCCTTTATACCAAAAAATTAATTCAAACAATAATAATCTTCAAATAACAAAATAAATAACTCCTTCTCAAGCGTCAACTCATACAAATACACATTAATTTATTTCATATTTTTTTAACAAACCAACTTTGATCATTCTCTTAGACATAAACATTGATCTGACGTTTTAAACATCACTCTCCAGATTATTCCATAATCTAATTCCTTGGATTGAGGTAGACTTTTCCTTCAGACTAGTTCGAAATTTAGGTTTCACAAAGATTTCCATCCCCTTAAGATAATAACAGCTCTCTCTTTTAACAAAATTTAACTGGATATTTTAAGGTAATGTATTATTATGAGCCCTATGCATAACTGATAAAATATTATAATCTACCAAATCATGGAACTTCAATAACTTCAGAGTTGATAAACTAATGAACTTGATGGGTGACAGAAATGCTTCCTGGTAGTAATTCTTACAGATCTTTTTTTTAAACAAAAATAGGATTTATAATTGTTTTGCACGCTTTCTCTCAATAGTTTATATTTGCAACTGAATACCTTTTAGAACCCCAATTGAAAATGGCCACTACAGCCAATTGATTTTTATTAGCCAACACAAAAATGGCTCTAACACTGTCAATTTCAAAAGTGCTTCTTTTTTTTTTTTGTAGTGGTGTGAGTTATTCACAACACATATTTTAAGTTCACTACATTGAGCAATACGTTTTCTTACAATGTTGGCATCAACTGTTAGACTTAACAATGTCTGTTAGGAAAATATCTAATGAACCATTGAACAAATTTACATGAAAATCTCAGAAAGCAATTATTGGATGAACAGCTACAACATAAACCTTTTAGAGCAAACCCAATCAGAGCCACAGCTAATCATCTTAGTCATTTACAGATATTGAGTTAAAAATTAG